ATTATTATTATTATTATTATTATTATTATTATTATTATCATTATTATTATTATTTTCATATGTATCCCCATTGTGTAAGTGTAGTTTTTCCATTCTAACTCGTAGGGCCGCTGTTGACCATGGTGTCTAACAGACATCATGTTTGTAGCAACACATCCTCTGCAAAGTCTGCATAATAAAGAAAGAACTCGTAGTGAAAGGATCGGTCAACCCTCAAAGATTTTCAAGAAAGACGGATTACTATTTTGTCTATTTTGTCTAATGTGTGTGTGGATTATGTTGGTTCAAAAACAATGTTTCTGACTGGATTTCGGCTCAAGATCAACGCTCTAACTATCAGGATTTTTTTAATGGAAAATTACTTGGGTTTCAAAATGAAGAGGCAAGCGACGCTTTTTATGTGTGTCCTCTCCTTCGGCTTTGTGCTCGGGCAGGTATCCTACACTATTCCGGAGGAAATGCCAAAAGGCTCCTTAATCGGAAACATAGCACATGATTTAGGATTACAAATCAAACGTCTAAAAGAAGGTAAAGCACGAATTTTTACTCGAGATAGCGATGAATACATCGAGCTCGACAAAGAAAGAGGGGTCCTTCTTGTTAAAGAAAGGATTGATAGAGAGGTGCTATGCAAACAGACGACGCCATGCGCTCTGCATTTTCAAATTATTTTGGAAAACCCCATGGAATTTTACAGTATCACAGTACAGATTACAGATATTAACGATAATTCGCCAACATTTGAGAAGAATAAAATTGATTTTAAGATAAGCGAGTCAGCTGTTATTGGAGCCAAATTTGCTCTGGAAAGAGCAGCGGATCTTGATGTCGGCATTAATGACCTAAAAAGCTACGCGTTAAAACCAACAGAGAATTTTGTCCTAAAACTTAACAATAACCCTGATGGCAATAAAAATGTAGAGATGGTATTACAGAAGCCTTTAGACAGAGAAAAACAGCAGCAGATTAATTTGGTGTTAACCGCTACAGACGGAGGAGTGCCGCAGATGTCAGGAACGATGCTGATTGTTATAACAGTTCTGGATGTTAATGATAATTCTCCTGTTTTCACACAACAAATATACAAAGCTACAGTTACGGAAAACTCACCAATTGCAACAGTTGTTGCAACTGTTAAAGCCACAGATGCAGATGAAGGTACTAACAGTAAAATTACATATTCAATTAGAAACACGTTGGATGACGTTAGAAAAACATTTGAAATAAACCAGGAAAACGGTCAAGTTACCCTTATTGGAAATATGGATTTTGAAGAGTCTAGAAGTTATGAAATCCATTTACTTGCTATGGATGAAGGAGGACTTACAGATTCATGCAAATTAATTGTAGAAGTGCAAGACACAAATGATAATATTCCAGAAATACAAATAATGTCGAAATCCACTGTTATTTCAGAGGACGCAATTATAAACACAGTCGTTACAATGATAAGCATCGCGGACAAAGATTCTGAAAAAAATGGAAATGTAAAGTGCTACATTGATGAGAATATGCCTTTCATTTTAAAATCATCAGCAAGTAATTTCTATAGTTTAGTGACAGACAGTGAATTAGACAGGGAAAGCAATTCGGTGTATAATATCACAGTGACCTGCTGCGATGAAGGTGTCCCCTCGCTCTCCAGCAGCGTCACGCTTACATTACAGATTTCTGATGTGAATGACAATATACCTGTCTTTGAAAAGAACTCATATGAGACCTACGTTGTAGAAAATAACACACCGGGTCTCTCTATATTCACAATAAAAGCCACGGATGCTGACTGGAACCAGAATGCCCGCGTTTCTTACATTCTGGAGGACTCCTCTGTTAATGGAGTTCCAGTCTCCTCATACGTGTCAGTCAGTGCTGACAGTGGAGTCATCCATGCAGTGCGCTCTTTTGATTACGAACAGATCAAAGATTTTCAGTTCCGTGTTAAAGCGCAGGATGGAGGCTCTCCTCCGCTTAGTACTAATGTTACTGTAAAACTCCTGATCCAGGACCAGAACGATAATCCTCCTCAG